ATCCACTTGCTGCTCCTCCGTGACCTGCAACTCCCCAGCCCTGCTCACGCGTGGTGCCGCTTCCAACAGAAGCGCACAAGAAAACCGCTACAGCCTCCCACTTTTAGTGCTCCGTCGGCGAGCCTTCTAGATGTTTCGGCACCGACCAAGAGTCCAGCTCCATCCTCATTTGAGTCGTGCACCCGCTGCCAACGCCGGTGAACATACGCAGGTCTCGCTTCCGCTATTCATGCGACCTGCGAGCTCAACGGATGCCCCGTGTTGTTTTTCCCGTGTCCCGTCGGCGAACCAAACGGAGTTGTCGAGCCCCTCCGAGCAGCCCATCTCGATCTTCGGCTTGTTCCCAATCTGGTGTTAATACCGAGAACGGTAACGGGACTCGTTTCCCCTCTCGTTTGTTCATGTGTTGTGTTTTGAGAATATAAATATATTATTGATATTATTTATTGTTATGATTTTATGTGAATTCAGTCGGTTCGTGCGAATCGAACAACAACTTGTTGTAAGTGTGAAGTTCCTGTGGATTTAGGAACTTAGGATCGTCATGGGCACAACGGTTTTGACCTTGTGTCGTTTCGATTAGTAAATCGGGAGATATGAATTTTTTAAGTCCTTAATTGTTGTTTTATGTGTAAAATTCACCATAAATCGCATGATTGTCCGATTGGCATGAATGTGAACTGAGTGACCCCCAGTTTATTGTAGGCCTAATTGCTAATAAAACTATGACCTTTTCGAAAATTGCAATTATATGTACCACTTTTAAACTTTGCAAAAATATACACCACTTTCATTAATGTTTGCAATTTCATCTTCCGGGCCCAATTTCGGGCTTTAATTGCTGACGTGGATATTTTTTTCTGGCCTGGCGCTGAGGTGGCGATAAAAAAAAAAAAAAAAACTGCTGAGATTGGGATTCGAAAAAGGTCATCGGCGATTATATGCCCTCACAAACCGACGTCGCGCGCCGCCGTGAAAGCGACTTGCAGGGTCCTCGCCGTCGTTTTCCTCAGCCTCCTTCTTCCCCTTTCTGTCCTCCTCCTCGCCCGCCTCTCAATTGCCCGCTACTTACTATCAATCTCCGGCGATAAAACAACGTGGGTCCTCAATTTACTCGTTTTTCTAGTGGCATTTTCAGCTCTCGTCAACTGCTTGACCGGATCTAATCCGGTGTTGCTCATCGGCGAACGACGTCGCATTTGCGCCGCGTGGGCTCTGATTTTTCTAATGCAGGCTTGTCTGAGTTTGGGGATTCGAGGGACAATCGACGCTGAAATTAACAGCTCCGCGGAGGGTAATAATTGGGTTTTGCTGAAATTAACAGATCCGCCGGTTGCGGCGGATCTGGCAATGAATGGATGGGCGGCGGCGGGGGTTGCCGGGTGGTGGTTGTATTATCTGACGGCGGCGGTGGGGGTGGTCAGGGCGGTAAGAGGTTTCGTGTGGGTGCTGACGTGGATTTTTAAATTTGTGCGAGTTGACAATAGCAATAAAAGCCCGAAATTGGGCCCAGAGGATGAAATTGCAAACATTAATGAAAGTGGTGTATATTTTTGCCAAGTTTAAAAGTGGTACATATAATTGCAATTTTCGAAAAAGTCATAGTTTTATTAGCAATTAGGCCTTTATTGTATAGCTTGTGTAAAAATTTCATAATGTTTCATGGCATGTAGCTATTTTAAATAATTAATGTGATTTCTGGACAGAAATATGTTAAATGCATATTAAATTGGTCCGTGCTCCGATTTTGCTAAAATTTGAATATGTTATGACTCTGTCATGATTTTATGCTGTGTAAAAATGTTTAGAATAAGTTTCATAGGGTAAATGCATTATTTTCAAATTCTGCAGAAAACTGTTTTATTTATGATAAATCGTTTAGTTATTGAAAAACTCTTATTTTTGGCTAAGATGCTTTTTTTATGTTTAGTATGATGATATGAGAAGATTGAAATTTTTAGAGTTCAAAATGATGCGGTTTTAATTGAAATTCGATAAACTGCAGAAACTTGTAGGAATTTTTTAACGTGTGTTTATTATTTGTAACTAAAACTTATATATGTTGGTATATAACTATTGATCTTGCTCCAGTAAAAATCTCATGTGCTAATTCGTTTGTTAGGTTAGTCTTTGAATTGTATGCTCGTTTTTGCTGATATCGTATTTGAATTTTATAAAATTGTGTATAATGAATTTGTGGCTGAAACTTGGTGGTTTTTCTAAGTATTGGGAGTTGAATTTTGTGTTAAACTTTTAGAACCTAACTCGTTGGTTTGATGGACCTGCTTAAAAATGTGTAAATCTTGGAATTCCTTTGAGATAGAAGTTTTGGTTAAGAATTTGGTAATCAGCATGTTATGTGTTTCCTTGTGGCTTGTCTCAATTATTTTTATCTGAAATTGTGAGGAATCCAATAAGTGGTATGATCGAGTCTAAGTCCTAGAGTTCCAATATCCGCAGGACTTCACGAACCACTTAGTCGAATCAAGTTCGGCTAAGTCAAATTTATGATTTTCAATAAAGCGTTGACTTTAGTATCTGGACTTATGTAGGTGTCTAGAGGTGTTGACCTCACCCCGCCTTCGAGAATTGTGATTTTGTTTTGTCGTTGCGAACAAGTGGGTATATTTGTGATGTATTCCACAATTATTGCACTCTTTATTTGTATAATGCTTCGTTTGAAAATGGTTGTATGCGTGAGAACCCTAGTCTAGGTGTCCCGTACAATAGTGCCTTTGATGAATGCGAAAACAGTGGGAAGTCACATGCCCGTTGTATCCGGGAGGAGACGCCCCAAGCCGTTGTACCAGGAAGGGGAAAAACATCTCCACTGTCTTCTGGAAAGGATCCTACGAACCGTTGTACCCGGGGGTGGGAAGGTTTCCAGTTACTTCTATGTCGTTGTATCCGGAAGGTTGTTGTATGTACATAGGAGGTTTGCAATAAGGCTGAGTAGGGAGTTTAGACCTTGGATTCTATGCATACTGTGAAAATGTTTTAAAATGCCTTATACTGGATAACTGTGCAATAAAAGTGAGCTTGTTGGTTATGCTCACCCCCATTGTTTGTTTTTTGTTGTTGTTCCTCGCTTCCTTCTTTAGGATGAGATGAGCTGGAGGCGGTTGCGTAAAGATGAGCGAGATGGTGGTCAATGGTCGATTGTGTTATTCTTGTGCTTCCGCCTGTTATGAATTGTTGAACTGCTTATTGACTTAGTTTTTATTTTTCCTGCTTTGAACTAAATAATTATGCTATCGTCGGATATGAACCTTGGGATTATGCTTTTACTTATTGGTTAATTTGGAACTTATGAAATGCTTGTTTGGGTTTGATATCTGTTAGTAACGGATGTGTAGGTTCTATCTGATTTGTTGTATATTGGTTTAATTGTTGTTGGTAGTTAGGTAGCGCCCGTTAAGTTTTAAAATTTAATTTGAGATTTTGCGAAAAATTAACTCTGATTTTTATAAAATTTATTTGGGAAGTTCTTTAAAATAAAATGGGGCGTTACAGTTCCTATGTCTTTGTTGTTTTTTCGTCGAAGACCGGAGATCCGATGTAGAAGCTGGTGTCCTCCGTGAACAAAGCATGTTATCCATCTACATCTTCGATCATGTTTTTCTCTGACCCCAAAGGCTCCTAATCAAAAACTGATGAAACATCGTAGAAACCATCCGCACTTCCTATAAGATGCTTCACCCAAAAACATGTCTCATATCGCGACTCACCAAAGTCGTCGGTTTCATGCCGAGGCTCGCGACGCTGCTGCTCCTCAATATCCACGTAGTCTGGGCCAAATGCTACCAGTTTGCGGTCATCCTCATCGAAGCCCTCGGCTTCGCGGTGCTCCTGCCGGTCTCTAAAGGGATTAATGTCCCAACTGATCTCCTCGCCCTCGTCCTCGTCTGGCAGCGGTTAAGCGAACACTGGCGGAGTGCCCCACCTATGCCACGGCAGCCGCAAAATCCCCCATGCATGCCCCGGTTGCCGGCGTCGCGGTACGTATGTGCACCCTTCACCATGGTACGTATATTGAGATGAAATTCCTCGATACCCATTGACAGATCTATGAATTAATCATCCATTTGTTGAACTAGGTCCTCCATCTCCTGAAACCGATCATTGATGGAGGCTTCATGCCAGTCAATTGCATCTTGTCATCGTAGTGGCATCTGAATCATGCTGACTTCTGATACCAATTGATGTAGCGCAGCGTAGACGATTAGAAGAGAAGAGAACTCTCTCGGTAAACTAATTTATAGAGTAATTACAATTCATTAAGTCTCTTACACTAACTTATTTATAGACACTAGTACGGTATTCGTGCAATCCACGGGCTAGTAATATTAAGAAAAATATTTTTATTTTGATAATGACATCATTGTTCAAAATATAAAACACATTTATTGGAATAAAACAAAATATTATGTATATATTATTAAAACAATAAACTTCCTTGCACACAACATTATTTGTTTGAGTTTTTTTGTACATTTTCATCGCCACAAGTTCAATTCTCCAAACTCTTATAATTCATAACGCGTGAAACAACTACATAAAACTGACTGTAACTAAACATAAGTTTCTTCAAGAGCAACATGCAATAAAGATTGACCCCTACTATTGTTTATCGTCATAGCGTACGAAACTTTAGTGGAAAATGTCCCACTGTCTTTGCTAGAATTTGAAAGGTATTCTAACACTAGAAGGAGTTAGAGTCACCCACGAAACCAATATATTCTCACCTGAATGATGTCTAGTGAGAATTTTACAATCAAGCACATGAGTGGAGAGTATTGTAATAATCAATCGGTTCGCGTTGCATAACCCCATACATATATCCATATCCGTCAACAACATGACAGGAGTTTCTATCCTCAAATACAACTCATGATTCGACAATCGCGAACATTTGATAGAATTCAAGAACTCAGATGTGTGTAAATTAGATAAAAAAAAAAAGACGTACTGGCAATCTAATGATGTTTAAAAGTGGTTCAAGAACTTAAGCGTGTGTATATCAATGTTCCTCAACAACAATTAATGACGTTTAAATGACGATTTTACCATATTAATTACTAATATGCATTCCATCATTATTTTTATTTCAATAAAATAACAGCCTATATTAAGCTTACTAGTACAGATCCCGTGCGATGCACGGGGTGCACAAAATTAAGGTTATTTATCAAATCTTATAGTTATATAAATGAATAAAAAATGTACGCGATATATATAGTACGTGACCTATAATAAACGAAAATGTGAACACGGGTGATGCACGGGGTGCACAATTTTAAGGTCATTTATTAGTACAGAGTACGTGCGATGCACGGGGTGCACAATTTTCTAGTATGTGTAATACAAATACATACCATATGTACAGGACAGAAGCACTAAATGAGTTATTTCCACAAACCTTGCCCGTTAAGTAGCTCCTGAACACGGGTGCACAATTTAGTACGTACTATAAAATCATAACAGATTTCCATACAATTAGATAATAAATAAAGTCTTTTTTATTTTAGTAAAGATTTTACATACTTTTTTTTTACTTATCGAATGTTATGAGATTTTTTTTGTTAAACTAATTTTATGGGATATGATACAAATACAATTAGAGGATTGAACAAAATCATAACAGATTTCTATACAATTAAATAATAAGAAGGAATTAGATAAGAAAAAAAAAGAAATTAGATAAAGAATTTTGAATCTACCTTTTTTTAGTATAGATAGACTTTACGTACAAATTTTGACTTCACCGATTTTATGAGTTTTGTTTTGACAAAATCAAAGACGAACACTGGAGATTGTTTCTATTAACATTTACAATGTGTATTTAATGTTTTTTTTTTTGGCAAAATATTCTTTTTAAGTGTGTTATATAAATATTAAAAACACTTAAAATATTTTATAACATCTATAAAAGCATCTAAAATATTCTATATTATTCTACAAATAATGTTTGAAGCTACCTAAATGTTTGTAAACTACCCGTAAGGAAAATATGTCTAAAAATTTTTCATTTAACCTATAGAGAGAGAGAGAGAGAAAGAGAGAGAGAGAGAGAGAGAGAGAGAGAGAGAGAGAGAGAAAACATGTAAAAAAATTATACAAATAATATTTAAAAGTATCTAAAATATAAGTAATTAGACAGATAAAATTTAAATTTGTAAAAAATCTATATAGATAATGGATTTATAGTAGTACTTAGACTTTTATTTATTTATGTTTAAAGTTGTTACAATAGATGAGGGATGTGAATTTTTTTTTACTCGTGGAGGTGGAATTTTATAAGTTGGGTTATGAAATTTTCTTAAACGCGTCCATATTTATGCGATGAGCTTTTTAAGCTGGGTATATAGATTTAAAATTGTAAAAAAAAAACACTTTCATAAATCATTTGATTTGGTATTTTCGGAGAGCTTCATTTAAAAGTGTAAAATAAATAAATAACAATTGTACAACTGAAAAAGTTACAACCAATTGTATGGAGAATTAAACTAAATCCAATTTTTTAGGATGCATTAAATATTGATTAGATATTATATGTAAAAAAAACAACTGGAATAGTTTTACGTGTTGCAATATTTTATATTTAAAAAAAATTACAAAATCTTTTTTCACGTATTACATACCAACATTTTAGGAACTACATGTATATTCCTAAATTAATATTGCATACCCAATATTATAAAAACTAATTAAATGCTAATTTGATTTGCATACCAAAAATATTAGAGTCTTTAATTAAATGCTTGATAAAAATAGTAAATCATTAATTAGGGTTGACTATTAAGTAATTAATTTACAAAATTCATTATTTAGTTATGTAATTAATTTACAATTATTTAAACATTCAAAATAAATATGGTGCAATATATGCATTCAATTCATTTTAAGAATTTGTTGTATTTCATAGTAATTAAAAAAATCAGACACACATATATGGGTGTGTGTTTGTGTGATTTTATGACATTGTTAAATATGTTAAGCCTAAAAATGAAATTAGTAATTAAGCTATATTATCGGTGAATTTTGTGATAGAGATTTTTTAATAAGAGTATTGAATTTAATGATAGATGATATTAACTTGAAATATCACGTTTGATTTATTCCAAATCAATTAACCATTTATGATTTATGAGTGGAATGGTTTTGGTAAAAATTGTTTGGTCCATATTTGTTGCATTTTTTGTTATTGTTTTGTCTTTCTTTTTACCCCATTTTAGGACTTTTCATTGGTCTTTAGTTTGTTTAGTGGTTTGTTGCGTGTTTACTTTTATTTTGGTTTTTTCAGTGTTTTCTATTGTTTTCTCTATTTTTGTGTGTTTTGTGTTTTTGGTTGTAGGAGAGCAGGTAATTTTAATCGAGACTCGAATACCGTTTTTCTAGTTATTAATAAAAGTGCTTCATGCCATGACGTGCCACCGAATCCCACGACCCGTGGGAACTCCACTGCCCGTGGAAATGGGATATAATTTTTATGTTGGGAGCCATCAATAGATCAGGACCAACACTCACTTAGATGAAAAGTTTTGAATGATATAACTCTAGAGGGGTTCATTGGGGACGCTTAGTAAAAAAATATTACTCAATTCCGAGTTTAGACGAGCTCAAACGAGTCCGAAACGTAAAGGTGCGCATAACAACCCGCGGCACCCCTCGCGCTCCAACAGAGAGCTGCCCAGGAAGACCTGTTGGGTTCTGTTAGGAACGTCAAACAACATGCACAGTATTGAACTTTATCGAAATAAATCCTAACGCAGTGGAATCTATAGTTAGGATATGGACGTTTACCTTTTAAAATTTTTGCCAACTCTGAGACGATGTAGAGTACCGTTGGTGAAGTTCGTCTGAACACCACAACCTAATTGGCGGATAGGTTTGGCCTTTAGTCAATTCTAATTTACACGTCAAATGGATCACGGTCGAACGGCACGCGGGTCTCGGCGTCGGGTTGTAGCGGGCGATCGTGCGCGTCGGGCTCGGACAGCGTGCAGGCAGCGTGCGTGGACTGCTGGCATGACGTGCGGATGGCTGGCGGGGCGCGTCGGGCGCTAGGCGTACACGCGAGACTGCTGGGATGCGGACGGGTGCTGGCGTGCGTGTCGCGGACGTGCGCTAGTACTCCTAGGCCTCCGCGGACTAGGCGCTGGCAAGTGGACAAACGCGTGTGTGCTGGGCAAGACTCCTGGGCGCGCAAGGAGTGTGCGCGCGTGGACTGGTGCGCAATGGGTCCTTACGCGAACGTCAACTGGGAGCGAACACGAACGGAGAACACGATTGTAACGCTGGGCACGACTCGCGACGGCGTGGGGCGTCGCTGGGAACTCGCGGGCGTCGCTTGAGGTCGTGCTGGGAGTTCGACGATGGGCCTAGCTGGGCGCGACTGCAAGCAACGGCTTGCGGTGGCGATCGGCTGGGCTCGGCTGACTTCCGGCGGCGATAGGCAATTTCCGGCGACTCCTCACGGCGGCGATGGGCGGCGATCGGCGGTGATGATGCGATGTAAAAGATCGGAAAATATAAATATAAAGGCTCGAATATATTGTACTCAAAAGCCTTCTAACGGATTACCTAAACACCTACTTCGATTAAACTTGGTGGAGCGTTTAATCGAA